ATAATATTTATAAATAAAAAAAAAAAAATAACTTATTATATGGGGTGGAGGATATATTTTTTAAATTTTTTTTTTTTTTTTTTTTTTTTTTTTTTTTTTTTTAAGCATATGCACTGACTGACGGCACTTTTTAAATTTCGTTGTTCTTGTGACAATGACAATAAAGATTTATCTATCTATCTATGAACATGAACTATTTCCTTTTAAATAGTGTGAGCAGAACTTTAAAAACCGGTTCTGGGTAAGCCTGACCCGGTTCGGGTCAGTACCCGTTCGCCAGACCGAAGGAACCACTCCGAGTTCTTCTGTACACAGCTGAGGAACCCAGGGTAACTGGAGTCTGAAAACGGTCGGAACAAACCTGAGTCGAACCGGCCGGTTTGTTATTGTTCGGAGCCGACGGTCCAGCCTGACAGAACCGGTGTTTGGACTCATCTGCCAACAGACGGACAGTTTCTGCCAGCTGCAGGCAGAACCTGGAGCAGCTGCAGCGGACCGAACCGAACTCTGTGACCCGCTCTGTGGACCTTCATACCTAACGTAGAACTGCTGCTAGCTCAGGGTTAGCGACTAGCCATTGAAAATGAACGGGGTGCTAACCCAACCAGCTAACGGTTCTCCAATATGTTTGAACGCAGCTGTTAGCTCAGAGCTAACTAGCTCAGTGCTAGCAGATAATGCTAGTCTGAGCCAACTGTTGCTAACTCCCAGCTTAAGTTCCAGCGCGCTCCCAGGTGAGTTGTGCAGATGATGTGACGTGTCGGGAGGGTACAGGTGTATCGCTATTACCTGTTGACAACTCAGTTGCGCCGAAATAACGCCTCACGTGCAGTTTGTTGACTCCATTTATTCCGTTTGATCTTCATCTCCGCTGCCAGCCAGTAGGAGGCGCAGCGGCTCCTGTTCCGCTTCTCTCGGATGTTCGAATGTTTCCGGTGCTGCACTGCCACCGGCTGGACGGAGTCAGACTCTTTATTATGATTATTATTTAGGTTTTTATTGTGGAAATCTGGGCGAACCAGAGCCGGGCTAAACGTACCACTAGAATACAGATTCACACAAAAGTAAAAAATATCCAGACTGTTTAGTAAGGGAAAATTTAAATCATACTTGTTAAAGTAGTTCAAATTACAGACTGAGCGGACATAAAATACTAAAGTACACAAATGAATAAAGAACACATCGGATTAAACTGATTTTATTCTACGAACATTTCAGCTAATGGCTTTTTGTCACTGGTTGAGTGTCTCAGATATACACACAGATATTGACTTTTATTTATAAACTAATTAATCTTTTCAAACCCCCAATTCAGTCTCATTTTATTTTGTGTGATCAGTTAAAACTGTCTGGATCAACAGGACTTCATCAAATATTTGGACTTCGGCTGTTTTTGTACTTGGTTCTAATCCAGTCAGTTTCCTGCCACCATATAATCGGGGCTCAATTCAATAAATATAAGAAGCTTATTTTTTTCTCTTGTATTACATGTTTTTGAGCATTTTGTTTTGAACCTTTTAATCTGATTATTTTTTTTAAAAAAGCTTTTTGTTTTAAGATATTCGACTACATTGTTTTTTAGATTTATTTTTATAATTCAATACTTTCATAATTTCTTTTAAAGCAATAGATTTTATTTGTAATACTAAACATATTAAATTTCTGAAGTAATTTAAAAGGGGCCTGCCTAACGTGTGCCCGTCGGTTTGGACCCAGCATTCTGCTGTTTAACCACGTCGCCTGTAAGTTCATCCAGGCTGGATCTGTTCCTAGCCAGAAGCAGCCCTGCTGTGCTGGGCTGAGGACGCCCTGGTCCACCACCATGGTTCAGTGACTGATTCTCAGCCTGGGGGTGTACTGTTGAGTGCTCGCACTGATGGTTAAGACTTTGTTATAAAATTGCATCTTTATTCTGCTGTAACGATGAATGCATTCTTGTAGTCAAAAATTCTTGTAGCCTGGCCAAAACACTCCCTTATACTATTTACAGAAGGGCTGATTAAAATAAAGGCACTTTTTGAAAGTATTTTCCATACTTTTATAATAGAAATTGAGGACGAGAGGAATCGATTAAAATCAAATCTGGTATGAAAAAAAAATTGTAAGTCATATCATCCAGCCTTATTCAGTATATTGAATTATGTGACTAACTGCATGTTACTTGAAATCCACATTTCTTTGCTGGTATTACATAGAAGTGTTGCATTTTAATATCTCACTTGAATTTCTGATCTACATGCAAATACTTGATATAATGTAAACACTGAGAATAGGGGAAAAAAGGTTTGTGAAATGTAGAGTATTACAAATGAGATTAAATTTTATTGTTGGTACAAACAGGATAACAAAATGAACAGAGAATATATAATATACTTCCTAGCAGCTAATCAGACATCAGACTTGTTTGTCTTTACTAGTGATGAAAACTCGTCACTTTGGAGGAGAGGAAGAGGAAGAGCGGCTCAGCCCCGTCCAGGATGTCAGTCAGGGTAGCCAACAAAGTCTGCAGGTAGATTTCTGCATATCTGGTGCTCCGGTTTCCAGATCCTAATTTAACTGAGTACTGTAAATAAAAAGTTAGTCTGTTTTGTGATGATCTGGCAGACCGTGGACTGATGGACGCCGTACTGGTCAGCAGGTCCAGGTGCTTGGATCCAATGGAAAGGTTATCAGCACAGCAGCTCAATCATGGCTCAGAAACACATCATGAGGTGTTGCGAAGCAAACCTGAAAAATTAAAAACAAAAAAAAAAACCCTAGTAAGTGTAACTAATAAACCCTAAGCTCTTTTTGAAAGTTTTACTTGAAAATAAATTGACAATATTACAGGAAATTAAATGTTTAAAACAGTGGTTCTTAACCTTTTCTGAGGTACCGAACCCACCAGTTTCATATGCGCATTCACTGAACCCTTCTGTAGCGATAAATAAAATATGATTTCCCCCCCCAAATTCAAGACATAGGGGTGACCCAGCTAGAGTCTAGTTGGGTCACCCCAAGATCACTAAGTCTTCTTAAAAGGTCTCTGAGAACAGTTCTTCAAAATATAGTCAGTGTTTTCAGCAAAGTTGAGCTGACTGTCCAGGAACGACCCAAATTTGCCACAGTTTCAACAGGTTGGCCATCGAGAGAAACTGGAACCACTTTAAGGTTTTGTTTAGATCATTTAATTAGCTCTACAGTCTTAAGAGAATGAAAAATTTATAATAAATAATAAGGACTTTGCATTATTCTGATTTAGTAATGTAATTATATTAGTTGTGTTACCACCCCCACGCCACTAGAGGCAGTAGCAACCCCAAATAGATGCGACTAAGGAGCAGATTTAGAAGTACACCGAAAGCTACAGAATTTGGTAAAAACGGTGAGTTTTGCTTTAGTAATTAAAGACACAAGTTCAAATCCCTGCTCCTCCAATCAGGGCTCCTCCGCAGCTCTGATTGGCTCAGCAAAACTCGAAATAATAAAAATATGTATTTTGTGAGATTTTTTTTAGATGTATATGTTTAGAGACACCTAGATGCGAGTGAGGCAGCTCTTCACTACATATTCTACTTATTTTTGAATACAAAAGTAAAAACGTCTGATTTTAAAAGGCTTTTATTTTGAAATTATAAAATTATACATCAGATGTGGTTGACATTTTCTGGTTGTGTTCCAGAGGTGACCCTTTGTCATCCAGAAAAGAGAGAAGTCACTGGAAACAGAGTTTTTAAGCAATAAGCACGGCATCTTAGGGGGACAAAAGTAAAAATGTGCTTTTTTAATAGACTTTTATTTTGGAATTAAACATCAAATCGGGTTGACATTTGCTGGTTTTGTTCCAAAGGTGTCCTTCTTCCACCCAGAAGTGAGAGAAGTCGCTGGAAACAGAGAGTTTTTCAGCATTGCATAATGTCCCCAATTATTACTGATGCATTATTTGTTTTTGCAACTGCAGCGGCTGGTTCAAACATGGGCCGGATGTACGCTTTTATTATGAAAGCAGCACGTAAATGGGTGTACCATAATGTCTTGAGCTGTGGCGCACGTGAATATGTTGTGTGGGCCGGCTGTTCGAAGAGCCGGCGAGCTTTACAGCGGTTCATTACCGCAGCAGGATCTCAGAAAGAAGCGAAGAAAAGAAAAAAAGAAATTACGTCTGTGTAACGTAAGAACAGATTATATCGGATGGGCGCTCCGACTTCATGTTAAATGTATATCATTGCCATATAAACAAAAACTAAGTTGCCTAAAAATAATTTAATACTCCGTTTAACACAACCATATATCAACACAAACACACTGACTTAGCTGTCAAATCGCTGCTTCTGTTCTCAGCCTGTTGCGTAGCAGTGGATTTCCTCTCGGATTATTTTCATCTAGCAAATTATTCCAGTGAACGAAGCGCGCACAGCTCCCTTTTAACTTCCGTCTTTCCATTTCTGACGCTGGATCTTCAATATCCTCAAGCTTTGCAATAGCAAGCAGCTACAAACCGTGTCTTAGCTTAAATGGCTAAGCTCACCTGGAGCTGCGTCGGACAGACCATAATATCCCGTGGTCAGAGTTGGAGCCGTTACCATGGTAATAAACGACCATGGGACTGTGTGTGTTTGACAGAGAACAGAGCCTCCATTGACTTGTACGGGGTTTTGTCGTTTTTCGCAATTTATGTCGTCATTTTAACTCAGAATCCCACTAAAAATAATAACGCCCTTCTCGGGATCAAGCTGCACATTTTGATACCACCTTTGTCGGGGTGCACGCAGTGGTTAGGGCTGCATTCAGGATGACGTAAGAAGAACAAATAATAAAGAAACACCTTATTGGGTGTAGAATATAGGTTCCTGCCATGCATTGGATAGGCAGGCCCCAATTACCACAGTAAAGTGTTTCTTATGTTACTTTAGATTACATAACTCAACATTTTTAGTGTTTTCCGTGACGTGGTTGATGTCCGGCTGTGAGACCGGAAGTGTCGGTGCTGCGGTGGCCAGCAGGGGGAACCAGAGAGCAGGAAGCGCTGAGGCTCCCAACCTGCCAGCTGCTGTTTTCCTGAAGTCTGAGCGGATTCTCCTAAGCGAGCTGTTCTGGTTCTGTTTTGATGACGAATCGAATGTGCTGATTCGGAACCAGCTCCAAACAGAACCACTCTGTGAGTATGTGCAGCTCCTGATCCGGGTCAGCCTGGTTCTGGTTCTGGTGGGGGTTGTTCTGAAAGTTGATCTCAATCCGGATTTAATCTGCTGAGCTGCGTCAGGAAGGTTCTGGATTCAGAACCTCAGCCCGGTCTGCTGGGATATCAGAGGTTCTGGAGGGTTCTGGTCCAGAACCACTCCGGGTTTCTGCTGAGGTCCTGCTCATCTAAACAGTACTGCAGAGATGGTTCTGATTCTGGTTCCTCCGTTTGAGCATTCTCAGACTGGGAATGTTTGGATCCAGGTTCTACTGGTTCTGGTTGGATTGTGTTGCTGTGCGGGCAGCAGCGATTCGGGTCAGAACCGGTCCGTCCAGTTTCAGAGGCGGGACGGGAATGTTTGAGTTGGAGGGCGGGTCCAGCAGGATGTCCTGGACCATTGAGCCTGCTGGAGCAACCGGGCCAAACCAGAACCTCAGGTCCAAACTGCCAGCTTCCCTCTGGTGGACCAACAGAACAGAACCATTCAGAACCTGGCAGGGAAAACAAACCCAGTTCTGGGTTCTCTGGGTGAAACCAGAACCAGAACCTGGATGTGTTTTGTATTTCCTCTCAGGTTCTGATTCGAAGCTACAGCAGATGGTTCTGGCTCTGAGCAGACCTGTTTGGGTTTTAGGTGGTTCTGGTTCTGTGTGGTTCTGGTTCTGATGTTGTTGTGGTTTGTTTCAGCTGATGGACGCTGAGAGCGGAGCGGTTCTGCCTGGAACCGGGCCAGTGGGTCGCCGGCCCGGTTCGATCGGCTTCAGCGGCCCCAGAGAGCCCCTGCAGGACTGGGTGGTGGACCCCAGCTGTGTGAGTGGATATTAAAAATCTGTTATTGGTGAACAGGTGAGTTCTCAGGTGTGCTATAGAGGAGTTGGACTTTATTTGGACGTGATGGAAGGAGACGATAACGATCCGGCTGCAGACCAGGGTGGCAGCAGCAGGGGGAGGAAGGGGCGGAGCCAGTTAGTGTTACAGTGAAGGTATGCAGACCAGGTGATAGACAGTACAGATACACCCATCCTCTTTACCTGAGTAGAAGGATGAAGATGGGCGATGTCTCTTTGAAGGCAGTGAGGTTTGACCTTAAAGGGCCGGTATCCTGTCAAATCGACTGCTTTGATCTCTCTGTTTTTCCCTGACTTGTTGCTTTGATTCCTTCATGTTTGACAAATCCTCTAATCTCCATGGCAACCATTCAGTTGCGAGCGCCTGGGTGGACCTAGCCCCGCCTCTGAGGCGTAGCTCCTTCAAATTAGCCAGCAGCAATCAGCAAACAGCTGCTGAGCTCATGATAGTAGCTGTTGCTCAGAGCAACGCTGGTAAAAACATTAAAGGGTTAATAAAGGATCCCTGTTGGGATGACTTCCTGGAGGCGGAGCTTCAGGAAGAGGAGGTGCTTCTTAAAGAGACAGAGACCCCATTTCAATTAGTTAAATTAGGAAGTCAGTCATATTTAATTTATATAAAGCATTTTTATTAATCCTGAAGGTAACTTAGTTACTTGATTGTGCTATAAAACTCCACTATGTGCCTGAAAAATACCCGATACTGCCACTTTAAGGTGGAAGTTGTGCCAGTGAATAAAATTTTTCTTTGTGTTTGAGAAAATGAGACGACCATGACCTGATCTCCATGACAGTCTGACAGGAGGTGGGCTGGGAGGAAAGGCAGAGCTGGGTGTCGTCAGCGTAACGATGGATATTAATATTATATCTGCTGAATATGTGGCCAGGATGTAGATCTGAGCCCTGGGGAACACCTGCAGAAACTTAGACTGGATTATCCACCTTATTCCTGAGAGGCTTACTGGGGAAACGATTATGGGTGTTACTTCCGGCGGCTAGCAGAAGTGGCATTATTTCTTTGTAATTTGTAGGATTTTTTGCTAATCTATATTCATGATAGAAGTTACATCTCTGTTTTCGGTTATAATACAATATTTAGTAAAACTTGTTCACAGACACACCGTCTGCTGTCAGAGAGCTGCTCAGTGCAGAGGATCGTAATTGTGAGTTTAATCAGGGGAGCGACAGGAACAAGATCGGTACATTTTGTAACGTAATGACCGTGAATTAGCATCGCTGCTAGCAGCTCGTTTCTCTGAAGAGCTGACAGGAATAAAGAGAAAGCAGAGAAGCTGGTCAGAGTCTGAGCTGCTGTTAGCGCTGACGGTGTAAAACACCAGAACTACATAATATTAGCTCGGTGTGATGTGAATTTTATTTTTCGTTTGAATTTAAAAAATAATAAAGTTCATGATCTGAGTCTCTATCATTATGTTTGGGGCAGCAATACTTTTTCTATAAGACAAAATAAACTATCTGGGTTCATTTAGTCCATCAGAACCAGAACCTTGAGGTTCTCCGTTGCTGACCGCAGCTGCTGCGCTCCAGACCGTAATACGGAGAATCTCCCACTGGACCAGAACCGAACCGAATCACACATTAACCCGTTATACAGAGCAACTTTCCACTGGAAAGAGTCGTAAGATGCCCTTGTGAAGCTCGGGGAACTGTTGTGCTGTTCTCTAATAATCAGATGAAGTTTAGTTTGTGGCTGCAGCAAGTTCAAGAAAACCCACATCTGCATCTGAAGCAACGGAGTCAGTGAAGTAGCTACATGCTAGTGCAGGTAGCTACATATGCTATTGCGACGTGAAGAAATGCGGCTATTTCTTCAAGTCGCCATCCCTCCCCGCAATAGCTGCAGGTTGCGGTAAAACAATATTGTCACATTTAAGCTTTGATCGCTGGGGTTCCCACATATTTTATAGCCTAAAAGCTCTGACGAAAGCTGGTTAGCGTTAAGGTAACATGTAAACAAATGGCAGTTCCGGCTTGCGGCGAAAGTCGCACCCATAATTCACGCAAAGCATCATGGGGCATAGGAATAAGGTGGATACAGGACACACTGAAAGGTACGAGGAAGAAGGATGTTAATGGACGCTTAGCATCCTTCCTCCTTATCCCGGAGGATAAGATGAGAAATGGAAGGAGAACAGTAAGTGAGTTTCAGCGTGAGCATTATTAGTGGAGGCGAAACTCCTTGGTGTTAGCAGGGAGTATTTTAGCTGAAAGGCGGTCTGAGCGTGCTCAGTTAGTCTTCACATCCTGACTCCTTCTAGGTCCGGCCCCGGCCCCCTTTCTCATCTGTCCTTACTTCCTGTCAGGTGACCTTGGATGACAGCGAATCGGAGGATGTTCTGCAGGCTGTCGACCCCAACGAAGTGTTCGGAACTGGTACCGGGCCCACCGACACGTCGTCTGAGAGTGACAGCGGCATCTCGGAAGAGACCCCCGTTGCAATGGTGACAGCAGTAACCACGGCGACCAGCCAGCCAGCCCCTACAGCAGTCTACCAGGTGGTCTATGACATCAGCTCTGTGGGCGGAGCCAAACCTGAACCCGGTCAGGAGAACATCATCTCCATCGAGCTGGGTAGGTCCAGTTCTGACCCGGTTCTTACTCAGTCCACATGATGATGTCATTTGACAAAGTCATCAACTCAACTTTTTTCCTTTTTCTCCGCCCCCCATCACTCCACCCCTCACATCGCCCCGGCCCCTCCTCCAGATGAATGGAGTTCCCAGCTGCTGTTTTCGGACTCCTGCATCTTCAGCGACTTGCACGCGGTCTCGTCTTCATCATCATCCTCTCCATCTGACGGCGGCCGGAGCTCCGCCCCTCTTTCAGGTAGAGACCAGGTAAGACTTCCTGTCAGTGAGTGTCATCAGAGGGCGTATGAAACTGGAGGACTCACTCTTCTTCTTCTTCAGGTGCCGCTGTTCCCTGACCTGCGGCTGACAGAGGAGGAGCAGAAGCTGCTGACAGAGGAGGGCGTGTCCCTGCCCAGCAACCTTCCACTCACTAAGGTCCAACTAAGGGCCACCGTGGACACATTTGAAGATTACATTTTTGGAAAACCAGGGTTATTTTCACCACTGCACTTCCTCAGTTCAGAGTAGGGCTGAAGCGATTCCTCGAATGATTCAAGTTCCTCAATTATTAAAATTTCTCGAGGAAAATGTACCTGCCTCGAAGCTTCATTCAATGATGTTTTATTATTCAGCCACCGTGTTCCGGCCGGGTTGTTATTTGCGTTGTGCAGAGCTCTGACTTCCACCTCTGAGTTGTTGACAAAAAGCTAAGTGTTAGGAGCATAACATCCGATTTTCAAATTCGGCCTGTGGGATTTTATTGATTCATGATGATGCCCAGGTTTTCGTCGTTTTTTTGGGGATTTTAAGCATCCTTAAAATGACTGGCATGATACCTGGAGTACGCCAGCCTTTTTCCTCCTGGAGCGCGGCGGGTGTATTTATACAGGTGAGCAGATAGACTGAACACGGCGGGCGGCTGTGCTTTAGATGCACCAATGAACCAGAACATTTATTTCATATCCTGGTCTCAACCCGGTGGAGCGTAGCTGATGGATGAGTTTCTGTGATGATCGAAGGTGTCAAATCCCGTCGCTAACATGAACACAAAGCTATAATGTTTGGGCAAGGTCAGAGTTCATCTATTAAACTGAATGGAGATGAATACATGAATCAAAAACTGGAGAATTGACATTTTTATAAGCGTATCTGTGAGCCTGCCTCTTTATTATTAAATCAAATGTAACTTCAGATTCTTGTATAACTTTTCTTCAGGTTAACTTAGAAAGTGAGCTAATATTGTTACAGGTTAGTTTTCTAAACTACAGAAAAGTAACTGTTAGGGATGCTCAAATATGAAAAATTGGACTGATGTTGATATGCGATAGTAACTCTGCTGTTATGTTAGATTTACTAATATTTTATTTTATCTTTTTTTTTATGCGATTACTCGATTAATCGTAAGAATAATTACTCAATTACTAAAATATTCATTTACAACAGCCCTAGCTGAGAGTGATGTTGGTCAGTCCAGGGCGGCCATCTTGTTTTGGAGCTTGAATTGGTCTCTGATGCGTTTCTCTCCCCGTAGGCTGAAGAGCGGATCCTGAAGAAAGTCCGCAGGAAGATCCGGAACAAGCAATCGGCTCAGGACAGCCGCAAGAGGAGGAAGGAGTACATCCATGGCCTGGAAAGCAGGTACCGCTGGGGGCCAGCAATCCTTGTGTTGCCATGGTAACTAGTGAGCAGGATTAGTTCAGAATGCTCACTGTCATAGTAACAGTGCCGCCTAGTGGCCTGACCTTGCTACCATCTTAATGGTTCTGACCCGGTCTGGTTCTATCTTCAGGGCAGCGGCGTGCTCGGCTCAGAACCAGGAGCTGCAGCGAACCGTGGAGCAGCTGGAGAAACACAACGTGTAAGATGATTCCTCTGGTTCTGATCCGATGTTTTCCTGCTGTAGATCCAGGAGCAGACTTACACTAACGCTCTGCTGTTTATGCTGAGCGCATTAGCATTAGCTTCCAGTAAATACCATGTCGGTATTGCGGTTTAGCGTTAGCAAGCTAATGTTCATGTTGAGCACATTAGAGTTAGCATAGCTAGCCTTTTTGTTGGCGGTAGCCTCCAGGACCTGGACTTCCTGAAGGCAGATGTTCCGGTTCTAGCTGTGGCTGATGATACAGACCAGGTTCTGAGCCGTGCCGTGGTTCTGTTTCCTCTCAGGTCCCTCCTGGCTCAGCTGCAGCAGCTCCGCTCCCTCATCAAGCAGACGGCCAGTAAAGGAGCGCAAACCAGCACCTGCTTACTGGTGAGGAGCTCTGAGAGGTTCTGTGGTTCTGATGGTGTCGGGTCCGCTGTGCCGGTTCTGGGACGCTTGGGGAGTCAGAACCGCTTTCTGTTTGTCCTCAGATCCTGCTAGTGTCCCTCAGCCTGATCGTCCTGCCCAGCTTCAGCCCATTCAGCCGCCGCCCGTCAGCCGACGACGACTACAGAACCGCCGCAGGTTGGTTCGGACCTCTCGCCTGCTAGCGGTTCCACTACGTCGCGGTTCTTTGGAACGAGACGAAGCCGAGGGTTAGGTCAGCCTGCCGGGTCGGAACCTCAGGAAATAATACTTTTTATTTTCTGCAGTTGTATCCAGAAACATCCTGACGGATCCAAACTTCTCCAACCCGGCGGACGACGGCGCCGGTTCCGCTGCACGTTCGGACTCATCGGTGCCTCCTGAGCTCAGCCAATCAGGGCCTGCAGAGGGGACAGCGGCACTGCCGGAGCCAATAGGAACCCTGGAGAGCTTAGCGGGCGCTGACACCAGCCAATCACAGAACGGGACGGCTGCTGTTGCTGTGCAGACTGGACGTGAGCCGGGGAAAACCGGACACGCTGATGAGATGTAACCAGAACCTCCAGCAGGGGCCGCCAGACTGACGCTGAGCAGCTGGAGGACTGGTTCTGTTGGATCAGAACCAGAACACTGAGGTTCTGGAGTGCTACCATGACCAGAATCGGGTTTTAAAGTGGATCCAGCTACCGGACAAGACTTCACCGAGACTGTTCTCTCTGTTGGACCAGACCTGGGACCGGAACCGACCCGTTTTATGTTCATCTTGTGGAGAAACGCTGACCTGGGATGTTTCCGGGTTGGTTTGTGGGTTCTTGTTGTTCAGTAAATCGTGTGATGCTGCAAACAGGTTCTGACTCTGCTCCGTTGAGGTAACCATACCTTAGCACAAAAGATTCCTCTATTGTTTCCAGTTTCAACACGTCCATCTGCTCAGTCTCATCAGCTACATGAAATCTTGACTAAAAATTAAATTTCAACATTTTTCATCCTGCAGTGTATAAAATACAGCTGAACATTGAAAGATTTACTTCCTGTTCTCATTAATCCGCACAATGTACCCAAAATAAGGAATAACAATTTTTTTCACCTTGTTTATGCTAATATATCATATCTAGAAGAATAAGTCATTCTAAATATATTTCTATTACATAATCCAGCTCAGGGACAAAATTACTTCGTTTTTCAGCTCATTGCTTCAGGTGTATTTCACTCTCTGACCTCTAGATGGAACCAAAGCACTTCCAATGGAAACTTTAGGGTGAGAGGAAGACGATCAATCAGTACACATAAGGCCCGGTCCGATCCTCTCCATAGACATAATACAGGTCCTTCTAAATAAATTAGCATATTGTGATAAAGTTAATTATTTTCCATAATGTAATGATAAAAATTAAACTGTCATATATTTTAGATTCATTGCACACCAACTGAAATATTTCAGGTCATTTATTGTTTTAATACTGATGATTTTGGCATACAGCTCATGAAAACCCAAAATTCCTGTCTCAAAAATTAGCACATTTCATCCGACCAATAAAAGAAAAGTGTTTTAACACCAAAAAGGTCAACCTTCAAATAATTATGCTCAGTTATGCATTCAGTACTTGGTCGGGAATCCTTCTGCAGAAATGACTGCTTCTATGTGGCGTGGAGGCCTCAGCCTGTGGCTCTGCTGAGGTGTTATGGAGCCCAGGATGCTCCGATAGCGGCTTTAAGCTCATCCAGAGTGTTGGGTCTCAACCACAGATTCTCTATGGGGTTCAGGTCAGGAGAGTTGGCAGGCCAACAGTAACACCATGGTCAGTAATACCAGTGGTTT